AAACTTTATCTTTGGAACGAAATAAATAACTGAGTATTATCATTTATTGTAAAATATGTAATCTACACAAAATCTTGGTAAGCATCCCACTCTCCAATCTTCTTGATATTTAAAATAATGAGTAACTAATTTCTGAGCTTGGCATATTTTTTCTGCAGGAGATCATTTGCATACTTACATTCTGATATTGAAAGAAATCCTAGAAGCTAAACCTCAGAAGCTGTTGACTGCCTAGATAAACATCTGCTGTTCTAATGGTGTTTTGAACTGCTGAGCTACCATTTAAATATTCTTAATTCTTTTCTTCTTTTTTTTTTTCATAACTAGTGGGTGGGGAATTGAGCAAGAATTGTAAAGCATAGTCACCTAACTCTCTCTCTCTCACATCCTCATGCCTTCCTCACGCACTTACTGTAAGAATTGAAAGGGAGAAGAAGTTAAAAAGCTCTTTAAAATTCTAAAGGGACTACACAACAAGCAAGTTTATTTTGTTCATTGTTTAATAATTTGTGAAATACTTTCCTTACTTGGATTTTTCTTTTAAAGATTATATTTATTTCTAGAGAGATGGGAAGGGAGGGAGAGAAACATCAATGTGTAAGAGAAACATCAATTGGTTGTCTCTTGCATGCCCCCAACCAGGGACCAGGCCCACAACCCAGGCATGTGCCCTCACTGGGAATCAAACCAGCAACCTTTCAGTTCACAGGATGATGCTCAACTCGAGCCATACCAATCAGGACACCTTATTCAGGTTTTTAAAATGTTGTTTCTACTCTTTGTTACTGATCCACTGGGAACATATTGTATATCAGTCATTTCATAAATAATATAAATTTAAGAACATTTTACAAAATTAAATCTGTTATTTATTCATCTAAGCAGTAATTCCTGAGCACTTATTACAGACCAAGCCCTGGTATACGTCAGCGAAGACAAATCAGCTGTCATCTCGACTCTCAAGGAACTTATATCCCCATAGGAGGAATAGATATTGAGACAGAATCACACAGGTTGCAATTACTGTGGTCAGGGAGGGCTTCGTGGAGGAGGGGGCATTTGGGTTGAGACCTCAAGGATGAGAATGGAATGCACATGGAAGAATTGAGGAAGAATACTCCACTCAGAGCTTAGCAGGGACAAAGGCCTGGAGGCTGGAAACAGAAAGAAATCAATGTGACTGGAGGGTACGAGGCAAAGGGGGAGAACAGAGGATGAGCAGAGCACAGGACAGACCAGACCACTTTTCCAATGGAGACTTGGTTCATTCCTGAAGAAGCATCCCAAGTGGAATGCTTCGGCTCTCCCATGAGGCAGGGGTGGGCGACCCACCCCAGGTTCCTGTGTGGGCAAGAGCTGGTGCTACACCGATGCTTGGCAAGGCTGGGTGACTTGCCCAAGGAGCTCCAGCATCCGCTGGAGGTGGTTAGGAGGTGGGTAGGAGGCGGTCCTTGGGCTGGGTAAGAGGCTGGGTGACCCAAGACCAGCTAGTTAGGCCATGATTTGACCTGGGGAGGAAAAAAAAAGTCAGTTTGCTCACTTTTTTCCTGACTTTAATATGTGGGGTCCTTCCTAGTAAATCAGGGCCTACCCGAGATACCGCTGATGGTGGATCTCTGGCTACACCAAGACTGGACCCTTGGCTCATGCAGCCACCCAGCTCACTCCGCAGACAGCTGCGGGCAATGATGGGCCTCCAGCACTTCGGAGAGCCTGGAAGTCAGTGATTTCAACGTCCCTCCCCTCCACACAGAGGCCTGAGCTGAGTAACCAGAATGGCAATGGGAGCAGGGACAGGGACAGTCGGGCCACCATCTCCTAGCTCTGCCCTTCCCAGGAGGGGAAGGCAATAGATGGTATCTTCCGAAGATGAGGAATACAGTGGGGGAACTGGACCAGGCGTGGGCAGATGTTCTCTGTAAAGGACCAGATAGTAGATTTCTTAGGCTACATACAGTCTCTGTCACACATCCTTCTTTGTTTTTATTTGCTTTTTTTTTTTTTTAACGACCCTTCAAAAAGATTAACAACTATTCTTAGTTTGCAGGCCATAACTGGATCTGGCCAAGTAAGGTTATGGTTTGTTGACCCCCAAACTAGACTACATTGCCCTGACAAACTTCAAACTGAGGCCACCTAATTCATGTTAAGCACCAAGGAAACTTTTCTTTTAATATTTACAAAAATCTTCTGAGGTTGGCTTTATACGACAACCTCAGCTCCACCCTATTCCCCATCCCATCCCCACCCCCATTTTCCACATCCTTATCCTTGTTTAATAGTCAGGATATGGAAGTTTGGAGAGGTCAAGCAACCTGCCCAAGTTCGTGAGGCTAACAAGTGATGGAAGCAAGATTTGAACCCAGGCCACCTGATTCCAGGGCCACTGGTCTTACCACTATGCTATACTATCCCCTACTAGTAACCAGAGATATGACTTTGGACAAGCCTGTTTTTCTTTCTGGGTGTGGCCCCCATCTGTACAGTAAGAGGCATACCTGATGGCATGTGAAATCATTTCCATGGTTCACATTACACCGCATTAAGTTACATTGATTCATATAGTGAGAAGATGATTACCTTTTCAAGTCTCTGATTAGTCTTCTAGCGGTGTCAGGGCCAAAATTTCAATCTGATGCTAGCATATCTTTAACATCTTTCCAGCACATGTTAACTTATTTTTATAAGCGCTTTCCATTTTTACCAAGCTTCAAGGCCCAGGTCTTCAGTAGGCAGTGAAATCTAGCTAGAACTCAGTATCACTATTGTATTCTTATTGTTACTTTCTATCTTTGCCTTCATGGCTTTATTTTTGTTGTTTTTTATGATTTTCTATTTGTACAAAGCCGTAGTGCTGCTGTGGCTGCAGTTCTTTTGGCCATTCCTTCACAGGTATAAGATTGCTGCTGAAGCTCCTGCCATCACATTCCTGGCCAAATCGAAATCCAGAGTTGGGGAAGGTTTCAGCTACTTTTGTCTCCTATACCCAGGAAATGAAAGGAATTCTACGGACTTTGCATTGATCCGAACAGGTCACATGGCCACCTGTAGCAGCAAGAGAGGCTGAAAAAGTAGGAGTTTAGCCGCTCACATTGTCGCCCTAAACCAATCAGGGTTCCATCAGCAAGAAAAAGGTATAGATACGAGAGTCTGTAATCAAAGTATTTGCCATAGGCTGGGAAGCCTCCGAACCTTGGTGCCTGCGGAGAACAGGCATGGAAGTCAGAAGGACAGAAGGATTAGGGAGTCTAGCCAAAGGCAACTTCTTTTTACCTTGTTCAGTACCAAGATACCCCTCTTCCCACAGCACAACCAAACCCCAATGACCCCTCGTCACGCCTAAGGAACAACATGCAATGAGAAAAACACTATCACCACACCCTCTTACGGTAGTGGTGGAAAAGGCTTACAGACTTGTCTCCACTGACTATGGCAGCCCCAAGTGCTAAACGAAGGAACCCCTACCTTTTCAGTCTCAAATGTGTAAAACACACATTTTTGTAAATGCACATTCTTCCAAACACGTACCCTAGGAACTAGATTTAAAACCCTATTTAAAAATCTCAGTTTCTGTATACCTTTCTTATGATTTCAAAAGCTACTTTCCCAAATAAAGTGTTTATCGAACACTCCTTTAGTTCCCATGCATGTAGCCCACCGTTCTCTAGGTGCCTTCCCAAGTGCGGAGGACCCAGGGGTGGACTAGGCCCACGGGCCTGCGGGCTGCACATCCCGGGGTGGGGCAGACCAAAACCACGCTCAGGAGCAGGGACATTAAAGCTGGAGTGTGAGAGCCGAACCTGGGAGCTGGGATTCAGGCCTTGAATACAAACTTTGTTGCTTCCTGGCTGTGTGGCTTTGGGCAAATTGTTTGCTTCTTGGTGCCTCAGTTTCCTCATCTATAAAATAATGAGGATATTCATCATACTTAGCTCATAGGGCTACAGGGAAACTGCTTTTGCACTCATGGTGGTTAGAAGAGCCCCATCAAAGGGCTGGGAAGCTAAGATACAGTGTCTTAAAAGGTAAACCATAGGAATGACAAAATAGCACCCACCTCATTTGGCTGGCTTTACGTGTTCCATGGCTTAGTTCCCATAACGCGCTTAGAATTGTGACTGGTAGGTTATAAGTGCTCAATAAGCGTTAGCTACTATTCCATTTCAAGCACCGAGTTTTTACGTAGTGTTGCACAATACTACGTAAGCTCTCTAAAAATGCTAGAGAATCTCTAAGGCCCATGCTAAGAGGCAGATTGCTGCATTCTCGCACTTGGAACTGAAGAGTTCCTCTTGAGACCCTTGTTCAAAGGAATACTTACATAAAGATGCATTTGTATGAGGTGCTGAATCTGGCCCCAGACATGAAAGACACGGGTGAGATTTGGAAATAAAGCGTAGTAAGATTGAGGTGAGATTGAGGTGGAAATGACTAGATGGGGCTGCAAAGACTGAGGTTGCAAAAACCCTGCAGACAGAACCGCTCAGGAAACTGCGCTCTCTCTCGTCCCCTTGCTCTGTCCTGCCATCCTCTCCCCGCCACCAGCCCCTCCCTCACTGGAACATACGTGGCAGCTGTTATATCAGCATTTCCAATGAAGTGAAAAAGGGAAAATACAGCCCTGGGCTTTCATGGAAAGCGCTTTAACTCTCCCAACCAGAACCTCTGCCTTAAAAAGATACATCTACATCTATGTATACGTGTGTGTTTTTAAGATCTTTAACTTTTCCCACAGCATCTCCGTACCCAACCTTTTCAAACTCATCTTTTCTAAGGAATGATATTTCCTAAGACAATGTAACATAGTCTTTGCCAAGTGACTCAGTTTGACATAATATGCCTATCTTTTTTATTTTCAATGTCAAGTCGCCCAAATTTACAGAGAAAAAGTGGGCACTTGGTATCGGTTTGATGTCAGGGTTTTTCCACGTTTGCAAGGGACCTTTAAATATGATTCGCAGTGAAGGTGTCTGCAGGCCAAGCTCCAGTCCTGTGTCAAGATGCTCTCAGCTGTGGTCCTCGCTTCTGCCCTTCTCTGCTCTGTGGCTGGCCAGGGGTGTTCGACCTTCTTCGGGATCAAGGACGTCAAGCACCTCATTGACAACCTGCAGGTAAGCTGTGGAGGGGGCGCTCATGGGAAAGGCGGCTGCTGAAAATTCAAGTGAATTTTTGAGGAAGATGAAAAACACACCATCCATTATGGGTTTTGTCTCTCTACCTCCTTTAGAAAGATCCACTGTCAAAATGCAGCTGTAGCGGCAATGTGAGTACTTGCTCTTTGACAAGTTTTCCAAACTAATTTTAATTTTTACATCTGGAACCTTCACTTTGAAATTACTCTTTTGCAGGGGACCGATTGTTTGTGTCTGCCCATTCCTTCTGTAAGTATAAAAGAATATAATCTTGATCCTGTTCTTTTTAAGTGTTTAAGTAAAAATAATTGCTTTATTTGATATTTTAGATAAGCAAGTGCTACTTCATTATAATTGTTAGAGATTGACATTTCCTTTTACAGCCAGGCTCTTGACATTCTGTATTATACAGATTTCTTTGTCTTTTGTCAGCTCTATGCCACTTGAGAAGCTTGATCACTTTTAATATTTAAAACAAAGAAAACTTGATTGTCTTTCTAGATTAGTTGTACCACGTGCACAACTAAATCAAACTAGAACTGAGATTATAACAAAATGATGTAGCCCATCTCACATTACTTTCTTCTCCATTTGATGATAACTCTAAGATTGCAAAGCAATATAAATAAAATGGCAACCCCCTCTCCTCTCCCTTCTGGTCTGTTTATCTGATTTAGGGTGGCCTCTGGGAGGACAGAGTGGCTGAGGTTGTGGGTGGAGGGCAAGTGGAAGGGGAAGTTCATCGGCCACTTGGGCTGAGAGGAAGCATGGCTCAGGGAGGACTTCCCTGGCTCAGGTGAGGAGGGAGAACTTATCTCAGGGGCCCTGCTTGGCTCTCTCTGAAGCAAGGTCTGGGAGAATCTGAGCGGCTCCCCCCGGCTGTGGTCAGGTGTTCGGCCCCGCCCCATCGTGGCCCACCCGCTAGACGGGAGCAGGACAGGGCGGCGCTGCTCAGTTACTGAGCATCCGCACCCCATCCCCTGGGTCACAGCCCCCCGTTTTAGCCATTGCAGAAACGCTGGCTGCTTTAGACTGGCACATCCCCTCAGGCTGATGTGAAAAGGCTTTTTCTTCTCTATACTTTCAAACTCTCTATTTCAAGACTTGGAACAGGGGAGCATTGTTTGAAAAGGAGACTCAGAGCTGGCAGTTTTCCAGGACCCGTAGGCCTCATTCCCTGGATGAAACCTGCTGAAAACCTCCAGCGAGCGTCACAGTGGACACGGGGCCTTACCTTGAAATACAGATCCTTTCCAAGGCTGGCAAGGGACCTGTCTCAAACTAATGTCACTTTAGGTTACATGGGTTAAATGAAAATAGTCTCTAAAAGGATTCTTTTTCTTACTTCATCTCCAAGTGGTCGTCTGAGAGTTTCCCTTCATAAATCCTTATTATTCACCAGGAAAACTGCACCACACCGTGCTTCCAGGAGGGTCTGGCCCAGATGAGCAACACCACAGTGAGAACAAGTTTCTCCCTGGTTTTCAACCGGGTGAAGAAAACGGTGGGAGCCCTGAAGAGCCACAAATGCCCGGTGAGTTTGTTTTCATCTGTGACACACTCAGTTTAGCTGTTCCCGTGTGAATGCAACAACGCTGAGTCTATCTGAATGAGAACAGATGATAACACTGGAATTGCTAGTAGTTCAAGGTCGATAAGAGGCATCTCAGAAACTTAATCGGAGCAATAGACTTAAAGGGAGATCTGCCTCGGATAGCCCAACGCTCCCCGGCTTTCAAACACACTCCCACGTAGGCTACCATTGCCTTCTCCCACCTACCGAATAATGAGCAAATTCACCAGATTGTAATTAGAAGCTAAGCTCTAGAGAATCGGGATATAACCCACAGGACACTAAATTATCCTAGAGATTCAATTTGCTGAGTTGTGACCTGCAAGTTAAAGATGTTTTTTTTTTTTTCCTGATTGCCTAAGGAGGTGTTTAAAGGAAAACTCCCCCAAGTGAAAGCTTGTCATTTGTCCTAAATGCCCACAGCACACTATCTTCTTTAGCCTATGCCCAGTCCCTGGAAGGGCAGGGAAGGGAGTGAACGCTTCCAGTGTTAGCTTTTCCACCCAAGTTCACAGAAGGCTGAGGGCCCTTCACTCAGCAACTTAACCGAACATGTTTTCTATCATCAACAGCATATAGTTCTAAGTGCTTAATATGTACTCTGTCATTGCCTACCTACCTTGCAGACCATTATTAGAATTGTTAGCTTTATCACCCTCACTTTATAGAGGAGGAAGCTGGAGCTCAGGAGATGAACTCATTTTTCCGAAGGCTACACATTTAATAAGTGGCAAAGCTGAGATTTGAATTCTGGTCTATGTGACCCCAAAGTCCTGCTCTTCGCCATTGTGCTATAAAATGACCTTGAAAGGACCACCAAAAAGGGGAATAACAAGATTTTTGGCCTTGAAGAGTCCCAAGAAAAGGTTTCCTCTCATCAGATTTAGGGCCATTCGATAGGTGTCTAAGTGTGTGTGTCCCTGGAAACCCTACCGCAAAGTCAGCCCAGCCTCCTGTCCACACAAAATGCTGGCCCTAGGCCTCCCTGTCCGTTTGCTCTGCACCTTGAGCCCCTGCTGCCTGCACCCCCCACCCCCCACCGCACCCTCTCCCCTCCCCGGGTTCTGGGCAGGAAGGTTCCCAGAGCTGCTGGGCTCGAAACAGTTTCAGTCATCCTGTCTTTGTTAACTTTTATCCCCCCAGTATTTTTCCTGTGACCTTCCGTGCAACCAGACCACTACAGGCAACACGCTGACGTTTCTGACCAGTCTCCTGGAGGTTTTCCAGAAAGAAAGGATGAGAGACACAGTATGAAGACCAAATAGTATTTATTCTATTTATTGTATTTTAAAAGCCTACTCTTTAAGTTGTTGCAATTTTAAAATGAAGCAAGCCATGCTAAATCAAAATCAGCTGTAATGTTTCTTTAAAATTGAAAAAAAATATTTGTTTAAAATTTTGTCTTTATTTTGGAATAAATATATATGGAAGAAAAGAACCGACCTGGACTCTGGTGCTTATTCTCACCTTGCTTGCTCAGAACAAAGAGCCACAGACTGTCTCAGGGCCGCGTGGCTGAAGGGGGTGCAGTTACAAGGGCGTGGGAGCTTTAACGGGGCTGCTCGGGGAGACGAAGGGCTTGCCTGAGGCACCCTAGCTGTGGCTGCTGGGGGCAGGGGGCTCAGGGCACAGCCCAGGAGTTCAGAGGTTCTGGGAAACTAACCATGCACCTGAAATGGGGGGCGGCAGCCGTCTGGCAAGCCCCAAGGTGGGAGATGACTCAAGACTGTGGGCGTGTTAATGCGCGAGAAAGTGCTTGGAGCTGAGTCAGGAGCAGGGCCTGGGCAGGCGGTCTGGGTCAGAGCGCAAAGCAGAGAGACCCTGGGGTCCATACAGTCACCTGGTCACCTGGAAGGCCTTTGGCCAGCACCCACCACGGGCTGGGGCAGGGCCTGGCTGTGGTGCAGGGGCTGATGGGGCTATACCTGAGGGATCCTTGAACTTGAACTAGGTTGTCTGTCTGGCAGTGTCACTGTAGCTATCTGGGAGGGTTAATTGTATGTGTCAACTTGACCAGATCCCAGGGTGCCCAGGTATTTGATTGAGCATTACTTTGGGTGCGTCTGGGAGGGTGTTTCTGGATGAGCTTAGATGAGTAACGCAGATGCTCTCTCCAGAGCGGATCTCGTCCGAGCCCTGGAGGGTCTGCAGGGAACAAAGAGGCAGAGGAAGGACTGGCTCTCTGCCTGCCAGCTTCAGCTGGGACAGCGCTCTTCTCCTGCCTACACTCAAACTGGGGCCTGTGCCATCGGCTGCCTGGTTATCAAGCTTTTTGGACTTGAACCACCGGCTTTCCTGGGCCACCAGCTTGCCGATGACAGACTGTGGGACTTCTTAGCCTCCATAACCTTGTGAGCCAATTGCTATGGTCAGTCTTTTTGTCTGTCTGTCTGTCTGTCTACCTATTCATCCATCCATCCGTCCTATTGGCTCTGTTTCTCTGGAGAACCCTACGAGACCATCAATCTCACCTCAATACTCGACCTGGCCCCAAGTTCCTGGCTTCCGTTCCACTTTATGTACCACCTTCTAAGATGCTCTCGTGTTTATTAATTTACTATGTTTCTTGTTTACTTCCTGTCCCCACCCGCTCAAATGCCAGCAACCTGAGGGCAGAGAACATTGTTTTGTTGTATCCCAAACGCTTATCCTGGGCCCATCCTACTGCTATTCCACAGTAGACACTCTATAAATATTGGCCAAGTGGATGAAAGCCCTTTGAGATGCACAAGTAAAGTGTAAACTGGCGTGTAGGTCAGAAATGTTCTCACCTGGAGAAGGGACGGTACTCAGGATGTGTTCAGAAAGGTGAGGTCCCTTCAAACACCTCCAGGAAGGCCTGGGCTTGGGGTTCACAGGACCTGGCCCTGTGGGAGTGGGTGGCCGCGCTGCTTGGACGCAACGCCTGTGTGGTGGGTGGGGTGGAGGCAGGGGAAGGTGAGTGTCTTGCAGTTGGGGTGGTCTGGCCTTCAGAATGGCCCTCTCTCCTGCTACCAGAAGGCTTAGGGCCTTGGGAGCTTCCCTTCTCCATCAGCCTCGACCATCCTTGGGTACATTATTATTATTACTACTATCTTCACTTGAGGATATATTTTTATTGATTTTTAAAAAGAGAGAAGGTGGGGAGAGAGAGAAACATCAATGTGAGAAACACTGACTGGTTGCCTCCCTTATGCACCCTGACGAGGGATTAAACCCTTAACCTAGGTATGTGCCCTGACTGGCATGGAACGTGCCCCTTTTGGGTGTATGGCACAACACTCCAACCAACTGAGCCACCCGGCCAGGGCCCTCCGTGGATACTTTTGATCACAGTAACCTGGACAGTTCAGAGCACATCAAGAGACGGAATTTCTCAAAGGACTTTGCTTGGCTTTTATTTTTGGTCATGTACAGCATCAAGCAATATCCCATGTGACCTGCACTGCAAACAGCTCTTGGCCAAAGGTGCTCAGCAGCCCTGTCCCTCCCACATAGGAGGAGAGATGGAGTTTCAGCCAAGGGGCCCGTGTCAGGGTAGTGTTTTATTATCTCCCTGAGTACAGACATGGTGAGTCCGTGATGATATTTAATCTCAATTTTTTAAGTCTTAGTTTGGACTGAGAGACAAACTTCTCAGTGATTTATTCACAGGGGCGTCTATATAAAAGGGTTACAAATTGGATTTCTAAGTCTAGAGGCTTTCAGAAGGGGACCCCTGGCTTAACCTTTGCCCTCCCTCAGTGCTTAGGGCCACCAAGCATTTTGCAGGGAACACAGACCGTAAGACAAATAGACCATAGTCACAGTTTGCTGACCCTTCGGCTTCTCTCAACAAGGGAAAGCACTGCGTGCCAGCGGTGAGTGGGTGGCGGTGGGATTCTATCACGCTTCCCTGAGGATCTCCCACGACCGTGGGTATGAGAACTTGTGTTTACTGGACTCTCCCAGCATTTCCTCTATGATTTCTTCCCTGGGACTCAAAGTGCTGAGCACTAAGCTCAGCGCCCTCCCGCCTCCTGCGCAGTGACCCCTGCCTGGGGCACTGAGCGCATGCCCGGCAGTGGCTGCCCTGCTTGTCTCCCCAGCTGGTCTGTGGATTCCCACAGACAAAGCCCCGAGAAAGAGATCTACTGAATAGTACGTCTATTATTATGTGTTAATATTATGCACGTAATTATTAAGCACTTACCATGTATGTACTAAGTGTGCATCGTCTCATTCAACCCACTAATAACCCGAGGAGGAGGGTATGATCATTTCTGTTTCGCAGACGGGGAAATCAAGGCTCAGGAAGGTCAAACAACTTCCCCGAGGCTCACAACTGGTGAGAGTTAGAACAGGGCTCCCAGCCCTGCTGTCTCTGACTACAAACCCTTTCCTGCTTATTCTGTGAATAGCAAGTGCGTATGTTGTATTTACTGACCACAATTTGAGAGGAAGACAGATTCATAAGAATATGAGCCCACGCACTCCTGTACTGAAAAACCTGAGGCCCAGATAATCTTCAGCACCCAAAACGTTTAGCCTTTTAGGAAGGAAATACACAGTTGATGCACCATATATTACATAACACCCACAGCAGGGCCTGGAATAAGATTTTGTAATTAAATGCATTAATATTCTGCAGCAAAACCGATGAGCTGCCACATGAGGCGATCAGGTTTGGCAGCCAAATGAGTCTCAACAAATCTTGGGCTTTGGGGGCTGTTTGGAATTCAGGACTGTGATGAGGGACCGAGGGACATGTCTCCAGCTCCGGCCCCACCTGCAGAGGGAGCTCCCTCTCCCCAGGACTTACCTGGGGCTGGGGCAGCGTTTCCAGGGAGGACACGGGTTTCTGTGGCAACCTGGATGGCCAGCCACGCGGGGTCCCAGGTCGTGGCTGCAGGGCCTTCTTTTCTCCTCCCCTCCACCTGGGCTTCCTGAACGGCTGTCCCCAGACCCAACTGCGCATGTTACATGGTGTGGTTTACAGCCCGCAGCCTCGGGGCTGCCAGCTCAGGAAAGCCCGCCCTGCGCAGGATCACTGAGAGGACAGATGCTGGTGATCGGTTTCAGAACACAACCTGGGGACACAAGCACTGCCAGAGGAGATGGGCAAAACGATGAACTGCAACCTGCTCTCACAGAGTCATCACCAGCGTACGTTGGTGGTTTCCCGCAGCTTCTCTGCAAAGGTTGTAAAACCCACAGGACACACCCCTGGAGGCAAGCTCGAAGCAGGATTCTCAGGGCGTTGCGCGCTGTAGCTCCTCTCCTGTGTGTGCCTGGACAGCTGAGGTTTATCTAGAAGGCACCTGTTAGCAAGGAGCACTCACATTCACTGAATGTTTACTGTTTCCAGGCACTGGGCTCAGCATGTTTTGCTAAGTATCTAGTTGGATCTTTACCAACACCCTTTGAGATAGGTATGTAATTATTCCCAATGCACAGATGAGAAAACCGAGGCCCAGAGAGGTTACACAACTTGCCCAGGACACACCTTGAAATGGCAAAATTACTTTTTCTGCCACCAGGTAGAATGGATGCTTGAAAAAAACTAAATGTAGTTAATGTAGAGAAAGATTCACTTATTTTGTGTCCACCTGAGGATGTGGTTGAATCATTCAGCAAACCAATAAAACACACAGTGAGTGCCAGATGTGAACTCAGTACAACAACAACAACACGCAGCAGCGTCTTCAGGTGTGGAGCGGAGACCTGGTCTGCATTGCCAGGGAGGTAGAAGGGCTACGCGCTGGGGGTGGGTCTTGTGACTGGCAGGGGCGACTGCCACTCTCAGCCAGAGGAGGGAAGCAGGGGCTCTCTGGATGCCTTCTCTGGCTCCCAGGAGCTCATGGGCCCAGGACCTCCTGCTGCACCAAATGCTTCCTGGAAGCCTCTTTGATGTCAGCCTGGCAGAGGGGACCAGAACCCTGAAGGGTTCGAATCAATGACTTGTCAGACACCCTGGCCACGGAAGGACCACATCAGTGCCTGCAGCTGCCCCAGCCCCAGAAATTGTTTCAGATGTTCACTCACAGGTCCGAAGGCCTAGGAGCCGGTTGTCTGGAGCTCTCAGAGTTTCACCTGCAGAGTCAAGGCCCAGGAACACCGCTGCAGCCATCCTGTGTGCCTCCTGAAAAATGCGAACAACCCAGACTCACAGGGAAGGCAGGCTGAAACTGGGACACAAAATAATCACAGCGCCCGCACACCCTGCCCCTGCCTTCCTCTAACCCCTGTTTCGCACTTTAGAGTTTACAAAACTGTTTTCGCACTTGATTCTTACTGAAGTGCTGGAAGGTAAGGAACACCCAGTGTGGCCATTTTACAGATGAGGAAACTGAGGCCCAACAGAGGCAAAGCTTGCTGAGGTCACACAGGTAGCTGATGACAGGCCTGTAACTGGAACCCAAGGCGATGGTCTCCCTAGTCTGAGGTTCGTTCCACTGCAGAGGAGTAAAAGGACAACAACAACGGAGACAGGAGACCCAGAAAACAGGAACAGTAGTGTTACAGAGCCCAGATGCTGTCACCACGGAGGCCAAGGCGCAAGCTACCGGAGCTGACCGCTGCAAAGGGTTTAGTTGACCTCTGCTGCCACCAAGTGGCGATTCTGCAGCTTATCAGCCAGGAAAGCCTTCGGGTGGCGGATTCTTTTGTGGAGCACAGGGCGGTCTCACAGGGGGCCCTCGGGACAAAGCTGTTTTCATATAACGCTAAGACAGTACCTGCTCTTTCACTCTCATTTTCTCGACGAACGCACAGTGGAGTTTTCCAAAAGCGACACGGCAATGGGCAGCACAACAGACCGAAAGCAGAAGCCGACGGGGATCCACCTGCCCTCTGGTTAAGCCAGAAGTTACGGAGATTGGCAAAAATGTAACAGTGCCAATTCTTTCATTATTTACTTTTTGAAAATAATAGCTGTTTTAGTTAAAGTGTCATTATGTTAACATGTAATGGGGTTTACTTTAAATAAATATTTTAAAAGTTTTTTAATTTCTGGTAAATGTTATAATCTACAAAAACTAACGTTCTTTGAGGCACTCAGTAATTTTGCAGAATGAGGGGACCGCTGTGGACAACTGCTTTTAGAGTGTCAACCAGTGGTTGGTGGTGTTAGTTCGACGCCAACAAAAATCCCCATTTTGGGGTGTGGTAAAGAAGGAAACTTTATTCAGTAAAAAAAAACTCAATTGTGATACCGCACAGCTGTGAAAACAACATGGCTGTACTAAGAGCTCTGGGGCCTGGCTGCCCAGCTCCGCTCTATCCGCTCCGGTGCGGTCCGCTCTGGTCTGCTCCTCTCCGCTCCCCTCCACGCCTCGCTGCACCCATCAACTCAGCCAGAGTGACACACCTCCACCTGTCAGCAGAAACAGAAAGCATGCTCCCAGGAGCTGGATTATACGGACAGAAGTTCCTGCCCCTGGTCCCTGATTGGTTTGCCCTCATGCAAATAAGGGCTTCAAATTCTCACAGTTTGATTGGCCTAAAAAGCACTCTCCTGATTGGTCAGAATAGAGACACTCTGATCAGAGCTGCACAGCCCTGATTGGATGGGGAAAAGCTCAATCCTACTGGTTGAAATAGGATTCCAGGAAACCACTGTAAGGGCTGGCTCAGCTGGCAGAAACAGTGCAGGCAGGTAACTTGGCGCAGGCTTCTTTCTCTTGAAGTGGAGCTTGCGGAAATGGCTGCTAGGCTCTGTTTTCATATTTATTTTTTAAATTGAGCCCAGTTAGCTGCCAGGAGCTCTTTTTAGTAGATGTCTCCCCTCCCCACCCACACCTTCAGGATTCACAAAAGTAATGGTAATTACTATTTTTTTTCACCGATAACAAGAATGTCCCCTTTTCATAGAGATCAGGGCATCCAGGCTAAAGAAAAGCAGAGAGGCAGGAAAGCCTGGAGGGTGGTGGGCAGATAGGAGCTGGCCCCCTGTATTTGTCGGATCACTCAGTCATTCCTTCAACAAACATTTAAATGCCCATTATGCTCCAGGCATTGCATGGGATGGAAAAGTTGGTTGTAGTACAAGGAACCTGGGATAGAACAATAAGAGGTGAGTCTGGAAGAGCAGCCATGATGGGAATTACCAAAGGCCTTCAGTGGCAGTTAGAGACTTGGTACATTATACATCCCGACAACCTTCTTTTTTCCACCATGAAATGATGTTCCCTTGTCTGAACAGCAGGGGGCAGTGTAGCCTCAAGAAGATTGTGAACCAGAACTGGCCGTCCAAGCTCTCAGCAGGAATGCAAGTACACTGGAGCCTCAGTTTCTCCATCTGTAAACTGTCAACAATGCTTTTTTTTTTTTTCCTTGCTTACCTCCTCCTATCATGGAGAGGATCATAAGATGATCAAGAGAAAGTGGGAGGGGTTCTGACACCTGCAGAAGGTCATTTGTTGGATCTCGGTTTTATCAGGGGAGTCCAGCAAACGACCCTGTGAATACTGTGCCACTTCCAAACAAACGGGACAACCAGGACCAGCACCCGGAGGAGGTCTAGCTGAGGTAGACTTAACACATTCTAGGACGTGTCAGAGAAAAGACCTCAGGTGCACCAGGAGCGGGCTAGGTGCCAGTGAGCATCTCTTCCCCGGTCTCCACAGTGCCTGCCCAGGACCCGCGCTGCCAGGGTGGGCCCGCAGGGCCACGTCTGTCAACAGAACCATGTGCCAGAATGGGAGTCCTGCTGTCCCCGGCACAAAGGACAGGGTCTGCATGTAGTAGGTGCTCACCACATTTGATGACTGAAGAAATGCACCACTGCTCTGGAAGGATGGAGTTTATTTAACCCTCACTCGAGGACATTATTTTTTCTTATCACTTTTAGAGAGAGAGACATAGATGTGAGAGAGAAACATCGATTGTTGCCTCCCATACCCACCCAGACAGGCAATCGTCCATGCCCAGACCAGGGATTAGACTGTAACCTAGATATGTGCCCTGACCGGGAATCGACCCTGCAACCATTCAGTAACTACACGACGCCCCAACCAACTGAACCACATCGGCCAGGGTGAGGGATAGAGAGTTTTGACTGCAGATGTGCCCAGGGAAGCTTCCCCTCATTGCCAGGGGCCATGAAACAGAGAGACCAAGTTGGCGGGGGGGAATACCGAGGCTTTTATTTCAAGGAGGGAACCTTGTGCTAAAGCGTCAGGATAAACTGATGAGATTGAACTTCTTTGTGCCCAGCAATGCTTTGTCTTGGTGCTGAGTCTGTTAGTGCAGGGGATTTCCAGGGACAGGCTCTGAATCACTCGTGCGTGGGAGGGTGGGGGGGGAGGTGGGAGGGTATGGGGAAATCAAGGGGAAAAAAGAGAGAGAAGAAATGTAAGGATATTTCCCCCGCCAGGGTTTAAGCCAGGAATGACAAATAGATTCATTGTATGTCCATTGTGACTGGTGGTTGGTCAGGGCACTGTGCTGAGAAGGATTCTGAAGCTGTGTTCACCCCCACAGGACAGGGCTCTCTGCCTGACTCAGGATGCCTGTTGCAGGCACAGCGAAGGGACCCATGCCACATAACAGCAGGGGAGCCATGGCCTCCCCACATGGTTCTAGCGAGAAGTACAACTCAGAGTCATGACATCATTCTGGAAACGACTGTGAACAACGTATTTTATTTTGCTTTGCTGCGTCTCTCCATGTGCAAATAAGGCCCAGAGAATGCCCACACGACCCGCGCTCAGTACCTCCGCTGCTGAAGTGCCGGGTCAGCATGTCAGCACTGGCAGGGCGTGGAGCGCCCTGCAGGGCTCCCTCGCCCCCCGGTGCCCGCCCTGCCCACCACAGGCAGCTGGGGATAGGGAAGTGAGCCTTGTCTTCTCACCTGCGTGGAGCGGCCTCTTCTCTGGGAGACATCTACGGGGGTCTAAACAGGGAAGAATGAGGGCGGCTGGCATCTCCTGGAAGCCAGGCGGAAGCGTCTGATACAGAAAGGACCTGAGGAAGTTTTCAATGTTTTTATTTGGAAACTAAGAGACAACGCCAGCTCCTCTGTGAATTCCCAGGGGGGTTACAGCAGTCGTGCAGAGCAGGATCTCCGTTGCCCCACTTTCTACCAGGTACCAGTGCAAATCAAGCAAAGGTCCTTCCACAGCGGCAGCTCGGTGGCTCGGCCGGGAGGGCTGGAACAGAGTGCCTGCCATCCGGACAGGAGGGATTTATTCTGAGGTTCCCGGGCTCCGGAGAGGCCACGCGCCCTGCAGCCACGCGGAATGCGGCCCTGCTCGGGTGACACCAGCCCTGGCCCTGGGGAGAAAGGAGGAAAGATCAGGCTCCATCTCTCTGGAGTTGTCAGTCCTTGCTACCTGGCAGTCACCCCATTGGGAGCTGCTTTAGTGAAGCAGCCGTTGGCAAGTATCACCATGAGACCAGGCTGCTGAAAGGCCACAAGGTTGTCTAGGTTATTTGTAAATGTCCAAAGGAAAAAAAAAAGAAGATATTACAGCCGAGAGAATGTATCTTCTTTCCCTGAAGCTGAATCTTCCTGAAATTGAAACTAGGCCAATGAGGTTGGAGCATGAAAGGCAGGCAGGGGCTGAACAGCATTACTCCAGGAAGGTTCTGGAGGCCGGGATCCGGAGGGCAGGCGGGATGAGGGCATTGCATTCAAGGGCCCCAGGCAAGACCAAGAACGGACTGCAGACCCCTGGCTGGGAGCCGCCTTCTGTTACCAAAGGTCATCTTCCTCCCATTGTCTGACTCTGGATTCTCCATGTGAACAGAGAAAACCAACCACATCACAAAACCACCACCTTACGCTGTGTTCACGCAGTTACAAATGGTCCCGGGGGGCATGTACGTGTTGACCTGGAGAGAAGTAACTGAGCAGGTGAATGAGGAGGAAATGCTCTTCTTCCCAGGACTTGATGGGAGCCGGGAGGGCCCTGTATCTGGCTGCCGGAAGGAGGCAGAAGCTGCTTGGAGCTGGGCTCGGTTTGCTGCAGGCACTTGAACACAATTTCACGCCATTCCCACAGCTGATCGTCACCATCCTACCACTTCCCTAGTTCTCTAAGGACATCATCTCACTGTCCTTGGTTTAGACAAGAGGGAGACACTGGTTTCCGTGTGGTGAAAGCATGGCTAGTACCCTGGCCTGGACCGCGACCTGCCCGAGATCTCAGAGCTCCGCAGCAAGTTCAAACCCAGGACTTGCTAGAGGGCCTTGGAGTTCTTGGGTTAGGGCAGGAAGTGGAACTCCTTGGGTGAGGTTGGTTTAAGATGAGGGTCTCAAAAAGTCATGGCAACCCCCTCACCCCAGCTGGGAGGCACTTGGCCTCCTCCCCACCCAACAGAGGACAGACAGACAGACAGACAGACGTCTATGCCCTTGTACATTCAGAGCACTTTCAAAAAGAACAGCTTCCAGTTGGGGTGGTCACTGTTCTGAATGGCCAAATCCAAAACAATCAGGATTTGGCTTGCTTGAAACCTCTTCCTTCCTCCTGAAGTAGCCAGCCACCAGGGTGGTCACAAGTGGCAGAGTGCAGCCGCTCGGCAAGCGTCCAGCCACTCTGGACCTGCCAGGCCTTGGCATTAAAACCCCCTTCCAGCTGAGGGTTTAGAGACATGGGAAAACGGTCCTGGACTATTAAACAGGGAGCATTATAAAATGTCATGGGAAGCAGGATCCTGTGTTGGGGGTACACATAAAAAACACTTGGAAGAATAATAGGAAGGTCTTGGAATTACAGTTTTGTTTTGTTTTTTTTTTGTTCTTTCAGTTTCTTTTTTCTATTTTTCTACAATAAAAATGTGTTGGTTTTATTGTAGGATTTTTTTTTTTTAAAGTCACTTTTATCTCTTCAAAGCGGGGAGTGGCCAATATCTGAGCACAGCTTTTAGAACCAGATTTCTCTTCCCTGCCCTGGACATAACCCCGACACACTAACTGGTTGGCACAAGATGTTTAAATATGCAAAAGACATTGCTACTCTTTTTCTTTTATATGAGAGGGCAAAAAGCCAGGAAAGCTGTGAATGTGGGTGCTTTAGTAACAGCTAAAAGCATTGGATTTAAGGCCACGTCTAGGGCTTGGCCTGGGCTCGCTCTAGCCAGCCTGGCCTGGCCTGCCCCTGCCCTGGCTCTAGCGGCCGGGCCCAGCCGGGGTCCTGGCTTGGCTGCCTCGGCGGAGGCAGCAGGGGGTTTGCGCGACTTTCCTGATGAAGACCGTACTTCTTGACAGAATTTGCAGTCACCACAGCCAAAGCAAAATGGTTTCTGGGTAACTAGAAAATTCAGCAACTCGCTCCACTTTATCTTCTGAGCTCTGCAAGCGACCGGTTTGGGGCGAGAGGAGGAGAAACAAGAGAGGACAGTAAGAGGAAGAACTAATGAGATACTGGAGGTTGATCATCCAGCCCCTCGATGATGTTTCTGAGTGGCTCAGTGCCAAGCTCTGAGAGAGCCACAGGCCACACAGAGGTGAAATAATGGTGGCAGCTCTCCTGGGACTTCCGTACTGGCCGGAGAGTGAGGAAAACTGCCAGGCAGTTATAATGCAGGCGGGTGTGGTAGGGACTGAGCAGGGGCCGTGGGAGGGAGCCCACAGCAGGCACAACTCCTCCTGGCTGAGGTATCAGGGTAGGCTTCCTGGAGGAGGAGACTTCTAGACTAAGGCCTGGATGACAAAAAGGAGTTGATGAAGCCAAGAACAAGGGGGAAGGCATGAAAACAGGGTGGGGACAGCATGTCAGGCAGGGACAACATGCAAAAAGACCCAGAGATGACGGTGAGGGTGGTAGGCTTACGAGGGTGGTGAGTGCAAGGTGAGTAGGGACGGCTGCTTTACCTAGAGGGCAATGGGGAGCCACTGAAGGCATTTGAGCAAGGGAGTCTCTAGCACATATTCCTGATTTTAGATCCTTTGGGTCACTGTGATTTTTCTGCAATGAGAAGGGAGAAGGAAAGGGGGTGGGAGGAGGATGGTGGGGCAGAGGTTCTCCCCTAGAGCTTTGGAAGCCTATTGGTGGCTCTCAGCTTCAGGCTCTGGGTTCAGTAGGGCGGTGGAAGATGGTGCCCGTGTGACAGGGGGTAGGAGCCCCCGTTTGAGCCCTCACTTCCGAGCCTGGGTCATTACATTGCACAGTGAAACTACACTCTTCCCCGAGGGCCATTGATGCTGCTGTGTGGACAGACAGACAGGTGAGCTGACTCCACAGAGGTAAGTCCTGAGCACTCAGCTCACCGCCACCGGGAGGCATCTGAGAAGGGCTTTGGATGACGAGAAGGGCGGCGGCCCTAGCCCCAGGACTAACCCAGATTGGAGAGCAAACGAATGCCAGAGAGAGATTTTCATGGCCGAGAAGAGGGTCCGAAGCTCTGGGAGGTGCGACTGGCTGGGGAGGGAGCACACCGACCTGGCACTCAGGGGCTGGTCACCGCGTGGTCCCCTCGGATGGCCCGCAGCGAGAGCTCATAGCCCAGGAACATGGCCGCACTCATGGGGAAGCCCCGCACAGCGTTCACCGTGATGCCTCTGAAAAACACCTTTGACAGGACACGGCGTTATCACGGCGGGGCTGGCCCGCACCCCCTGCAGGGCCGCGCTGAAGGGCAGAGAGAGGGCTGGCGGTGATGGCCGCTCAGGCGCCCGTCTCAGGCTGGGGCCCACTGAAAACAAAGGGCCCGGGCGGGCGAAGGCGCCTGGGATGCCCCAGCCACACCCCTGCCTGCACCCAGGCCACACCTGATGGCACTTTCCCTTCCAGGCCCTGGTCCACAAGCACTAAATGCTACTGAAACACTGTGAGTCCTGTGAATACTTGCTTAATCGCTGCTCTCTCTTGGGAAAACACACACACGCACGCACGCACGCACGCACGCACGCACGCACGCACGCACACACACACACAGAGGCACACACAGCTCTCAGGAGCCTGGAAGTCAGAGCTCTTCACTTGGCAGCGGTGGGCAGAGCACCCAGCCACGACTGCTACTGTGACAGGTGCTCCACGGGACGTCCCCCAAGGGGCCGGGTCGGGGAGAACTCAGGCTGTGCTCCCCACGCGGAGACGGTGGGCACAGAGTCGAGGCACAGCTTTGCCATTTAGTAGCTGTGCAGCTTGGGCAAATGGCAGGCTCTGGAATCTCCAACTTCCCACCCGTGAGATGGGGAAGCGTACTGTTGACCCGAGGCAGCTGTTGAAGGAATAAACGAGATGATGCTGTGAAGCCCTCACACGGAGCCCGCCACGCGGTGAGCGCTCCTCATCTACTGACTGTCACGGCACGTCCTTATTATCAAATCATCCCGTTGCACAGAGTAGCATCAGCCTCGATCACTCGTGGGGCCTGCCTGGACCAGCTGCTAGCCTCGGCCTTTCACAGGAGAAGACGGTCTCTGCCTTCCATCCCCAGGGAATATGATAAGCTGCTTTCCTTTCTCCCTGATCATCTTGCCTGCTGCAAAAACACGCTCATCAATGAGATCTAATTCCAGCCCTTGAAAGTTTAAACCCACTGGGGGAGCTAAGCCCCATTCAGGAATAACTACAACATTATGTAGAACATGATGAACACAGGTACGGGCTTTGGTGAGCAGTGGGGCGGAGAGGAGCTGTCCTTCAACGTCCTCTCTGGACAAAACATCTAAAGGCAAATTCCTACCCAAGCATAAATGATGACCCAATCAGTCAGGCATAAGATGCAAATCTGTTAACTGACTCCTGTATAATTTACTAAGTTCAAAAAATAGAGCTAGTGTTGTAATTTTAAGAAGGCAGAAATCCAGCCTTTTGCCTCTCCCCTTTTCTTGGTAGTCGGGGGCTGTGTTGTCAGAGCCAGTGCCGGCCACCGTCTGTGGCCAGGACTTCGGGCGACCTTCCTGCAGGAGAGGTGCCTGCACCCTGACACTGCGTGGCAGCCCGGGAGGCGCAGCTTGACTGGGCTGGGGAGAGAAGGGCCTCGAGGACTTGGGGGGAAGCCTCTGCCTCAGGGAAGGGAGCAGATGGACCAGGATCCCAGAGGCAGGCCAGCGGCCTCTCCAAACCCTGGAGCAATTCGTGTAGCGGGCAGGTGGGACCTTTGAACTATTAATACTCCTTCTCGTGTCCAACCTTGCTGGAATTCCACAGGGGCACCCAAGGAACTGGGTCAGGCCCCTGGAGGAAAACTCCTTGCTAAGTGCCCTCAGAGGTCCCCTGAGGCCCTGGGCTGGGCTCTGTGAGGCCAGGAAGCCAGCAGGACCCTGCATGGAGTGTGATCCTCCTGTCCCACAGCACTGGGCCTGCAGGAGCCAGGGGCCA